TCATTACAATGATTTACTGGTAGTCTCGAAACCCTACTTTCATAGTAATATTCGAGTCCACTCCACTTTTTCTGTAGAGATTTGATGGAATGGAATACCCTCACGTGCACTGAATGACGCAATATTACGCAAAAAGGTGAGCACCAGTACAATGCAGCATTGTGCTTCTGGATAAGTACACATCCTTACCACAAAAGTACAGTTTAGTACACTCCATTGTATTTCAGTCCATTCGCAGCACAGCTAAACATCGCAATTGAATACAAGAATAGTACTGTTAATCGAAAAAATGAAACACAAGAGGGTGTGGTCGCAGTATTCTTTCGGTACTGCTTACTTTGATTAAGTTCAATGTTGAACCACAACATTTGTGGGTTGGCACACAAGAGACTAGGGCATGTGAAGTCATAGACTTGGTATTAGAGATAGATACAGGACAGACGTGGCGGAGACTGGAGCTATTCGGCTGACAGTAAGTTTTACCAGAGAAGTCGTCCATGTAGCAAAGGCTTGACCATGAGACTTGCTCAGAGGCTTTAGCCTCGAATTCGTCCCTCAGACGCAAAGTGTGGGAAATAACGCCCCGAGTAGCACGGATGGGGTGGCAGGGGTCGAATCGAATACTTGAACCATGGAGATGGCAGACGGATCCTACAGGGCAAGAGGGAGACTCTGATAAGACCTATGGAAGGAGGACTGCGTAACAATACGGCAGACTCTGATTAACATTCCCAGGACACCAGTGAAGAGGGGTGAGAACGCAAGTGTGGAGTGTGAAAGGGGTCTCATGAAAGCCGCTCAAAAGGGCATACCACACTACATTCAAATAAGTAAGGAAAAAAAGTGTGATAGTAAAGGGTTGATACGATGATATAGGAGAGGTGAATAACTCAGGAGAGAAGAAGAGATACCACAACTGTTTAGCACACATTTGGTCAAAGGATCGACTTCATTTGTCTCTTTGACAAGTTGTTGTGTGGTGCCAGAAATAGCAAGACTCACTGACCATGCCAGCGAAATGTCTGGGAATGTACCACGTCCACGGTCCGACTTTGGAAATGATCATACAGACAATGAACTAGGTGTTTTCATCTAGGTCTTCCTACCAATGTGACCAAGTTGCGAAAACAAGGTCAAACAACCGCTATACAACGAAAGGTGACTGCGACCACACAATAGGCCACACCATCTTGGTTTTCATATCTTCGAATAGACGGGGTCAATGGAGCACGTCTTTTGCTAGCCTCCAGCGCATCTATCTTGTTTCTATGACTTACTTTGCCTACCTCGTGGGCCAATCCACAAATGTTGTGGTTCAAGACTGAAGCTAATCAAAGCGAGGAGTACCACAACATTTATGGGAGACTCTGATAAGACATAGGGAAGGAGGACTGCATTCCTCTCAGTCTTACTACCAATATGACCAAGTTGTATAGACAACGTCAAACTACTTATGTACTACTGTTACTTTATAAAAGTTTTTTCGTAGCCATCAGGAACCTGATCGTCTTCAAGGCATAGCATTTTAGACCGGATTCCTATTGGACTGACAGCGGATAACCGTCGAATTTCTTTACAAAGAGTCTCTCAATCGTGATGCAGGGCCCACTTCGCCTGATCCTCTTATTAGTACTCATTATGGGGCTCGAAACTTGAACGTGATGTATAATAAAAAAACAAGTTACCACATCATTCACATAACTCTAGCCTCATTATCATACACAAACTGCATGCCCTTTAAGAAAGCTTTGTCATCAATCAAATGCACAAAAACATCCCAAGCTGGTACAACTTGGCACCAATAAGGCTTCTGAGAGCATCGATATAATGGCAAACCTTCGATTTAGGGGCAAGATATTTGGCAAAATTGTGTGATTCGGGTTAGGTCTTCATGTCTTTGACTGTCCTGTGGACCAGGGCATTAAGTGCTTGCTTCTTAGCTCGCAAGCGATGGTCTGAGTCCCGCTATGGTAGACAAAAAGAACCTACCGTTAGGCCCGGATAAGAATAACCTTTTAAGAGGCATTAGAAAGTGAAACGAAATGCAGAATAATGCCCTCTCTTTAAGCAAGTTCAATAAAAGAACCAGTCTCATATAAAACACCGTTTCCCTCGAAAAGAGGTAGGATGTATAGTGGAAAACGTCAATGTGAGTGTAGTATTCAAGCCAAACGGCTGTAGAACTACGCGAATCGGCTGTCACCTTCCAGTGAGACCGACCTACAAATCTCTCATGATCTTCGAATTCGGATAAGAGCTGAAAAGCTTGACGACATAGACAGTAGTGACTCAACAAAAGTTGATCGGTACTCAATGGTTAGGATCCGGTGCTGAACCGATAGAATCCAGCTTCGTCGCCAATTTAGCTCCGATTTAGCTCCGATTTCTCTCAGATTCGACTATTAATTGGTTCTTCACTCTCGCATCTTACCTTAATTCTCTCGATTCTTGTCTGACTCACAGACATAATGAATAAGTAAGAAGAAAAGTTGGGTTTCGAGGAATCTCTTTTTTTATAATTGTTGAGCTTACTTCCATTTCGAGTAGTAGTGTTGCGTGAAGAGATTCGAAGGTCGGTTCCACCAGAAGACGACGGCGGATTTCTTTTGACCGGCTGTCCATTGGCTTTACTGGAGCATTCATGCTGACGCTGTTTCCGAGGCAATCTCCTTCGATTCCGGTAAAAACATGCTAAGCTTTCGTCCGTCATATGACGGACATCATCAGACCGAGGTAACATCATCACAACGAAATTCGAGCTAGCCTCAACTAACCAAATCACTTTATATTTGATCAAAGAGGACAGATGTCGAGTATATATACCACTTTTTAGGGATTTATC